TATATATATATATATATATATATATCAGTTCATTTGTTTTGACTGCTGTGTTTCTTTATTACATCATCAAGGGCCAGCAAATTATGGCCACAAGCTAAATCTGGTTTTGCATGTAAGATTTAATAAATAATACAAAGAAAATTCAATTTTTTAAAAAGAACCTTTTCTGAATAGTAATATAATAATAAAAACTACCTAAGATCAAATCTAACATGAGTATGTTATATATAAACAAATTATATATAACTTTATTGAAGGCTGTTAAATAAAATTGATATGGCGAGAAATACTGTGTTCCTGGATATATTTTGTGTTCTTTCCTAATTGAACTGTGCAGTTACAATTAAAATCCCAGTAGAGTTTTTAAAAAGTTGATTATTTTTCAATTTTAAGGGGGAATCTTTTTGTTTTTTAAGGAAATTGACAAGCTGATTCAAAATTTACATGAAACACGTCTGTAATCCTAGCACTTGGAAGGCTGAGGCAGGAGAATTGCTGCAAATTTGAGGCCAGACTGGGCTACAAAGTGAGTTCAAGGCCAGCCTGAACTTCAGAGCAAAACCCTGTCTCAAAAGAAAAAAAAAAAAAATGAAAGAACAAAGGCCCAAGAATACCCAAAGCACTCTTGAAGAATGAAATGGGGGTTTTATTCCTAATCAGGTACAAAAGTTATGACAGCTGCGATAATAAAGACAATGGGAGTGCCATAATCAGGAGCCCCCAGTTTGTTGCTGACAGACATCCTAGCTCAGTCATACTCTTGCTATGTGACTTTTGCTATGGGCTGCATAGGAAGACCTCTGGGAGACCCCAAAGCCAGGAAATGAAGACTGAATTTTGAGGACGTGACTGTGAACTTCACAATGGAGGAGTAGCTTTTTGTGGATCCTTCCCTAAAGAAACTCTACAGAGATGTGATGTGGGAAACTTAGGAACCTGGCTGCAGTAGGAAGAAAATGGGAGGGCTGGAAAATTGAAGATGAATGCAAAAATTCTAGGTGAAATTTTTAGAAGTCAGGAGGTAAAGAGAGT